TGGAACTCCCTCCCACTGGAAGCCAGTCTGGCCCCATCTTGGCTGTCCTTCTTCAAAGAAGCCAAGACCTCTCTCTTCAGGCGGGCTTTCGCTTAATTGACCGGCTGCCTGAGTGGTCTTTTTCCCCCTTCTTAATGGATTGTTTTGCCTTCCTGCTTTTGCTTATGTCATTTGTTCTTTTTGTTGTTGTTGTTGTTTAGTCATTAAGTCGTGGCCGACTTTTCATGATCCTTTTAGTGTTCGTATACTTACTGTTTTTACCTTTAAATGTCTTTTAAGACAGACAGATAAATAGACAGACTGACTGACCGACTGATCGATCGATCAATCAATTGATTGATAGATAGGTTTATCAGATGTGGTAGGTAGGTAGGTAAGTAGGTAGGGTAGGTTGGTTTATCAGATGAGAGAGAGAGAGAGAGAAGATGGCACAGGCCTTTTTTGTGGCGTTTCTGCCGCTGCTCCCCCCCCAAGCTCCCTCTTCGGCTCCCCTTGTGTTACATTCTTGATTGAGTGGTTCAGTTCAGGCGAAAGACACCAGAGCCTCACCTTGGCTTGTAAAGATCTCTTTTCTGACCCTCGGCCGGGGGGGGGGCTCAGGTGCCCAAAGGCTCTGGTTTCCTTCAGGGCATCATCAGAACTGCCCTCCTGCCCTGGAATGGTTCTCCTGGGGGCCAGCCTTTAAAAAACAACCCAAGGGTATCTTGGCCTGCCCTCCCTCAAAGGCTTTGCTCTTCTCCTTCCCTTTCCAGGTGAGCAGAAGGTCCTCCTGGTGGTGATGCACTATACACCGAAGGACAACCCAGGAACCCCTCTGGAGGCTAAGCACCGGGTGCCCCATCCAGCCGTGGTGGGGACCGTGCACACCCGCTACACCCTTAAGGATGGCTTCTATGCTTGTGAGATGAACGCGGTGGCCGTGGCTGACGTGGCAGCTGCCATCAAGGCCCTCAGCGAGGGTCACTGAGGGGAGGGGACTCTGGTGTTTCGGGTGCCCTTCTTGCGTGATGT